CCCCAAAACCCCAAAACCCCAAAACCCCAAAACCCCTCTTGACACCTCGAATATTGAACTCTTTTGTTCAAAATTAGATCTGTTTAATCTCAATACTGAGCTTCTCCTTCAATGTCTTTGCTTCTGAGCTTGCACTGCACTCTATTTTCTGCTTAATCACTATCTCTGCATAAGTTCCTGCTGAACTTCTCTTCACGCAGAACCCTGGGTTAACAATCAAAGCTTTGTCTTCTCAAGATTGGATAAAGGAGGGAAGCTCTGAGATCAGGATGAGAACATCAGGGCTCACTTCATACTGAAGATTGGTCAGCTGACTTAGGTCTAGTGGCACAGATTCCGCTGGTGGGTACACAGGGTAGAAGTTTCTCTGACTAGTGATCTTATCAGCCATATGCTGGATTCTAGGCTTTGTCTGGGAAAATTTCATTTTCGACATTATTGGACGAAGAACTTCAGAGTTAACAATTCCGAATTCTACCCCATTAATGTTGAATCTGGCTGGGTTTGGAAGGAAAGAAACTTTTTGAGAATTTTTAGAGCTTAATGGTGGCTGAGGGAATGGATGGTTGCTCACAATATCGTTCACTGAAGGAATTAAGATAATCTTAGTGTCAACTCCATATGTAGCATTTTCTAAGTACTTTCTAATCTCTCTGTATAAATCAATATCTTCATATCAGTTGATTTTATTCCCCTCGTTGTAGAATAGCTCTCCTTCTTGAATTTGAGGGTGAGTTACATCTACAAATGGACCAGTAAGGACAACAAACTTTGGTTCTTGGTCTGATATTATTGAAGCAATATGCTTCAAAGGAGTATATTTCAAATTTTCATTGAAAGTATATGGCCCTGCAAAAATTAGTCCATTAAGGTATCCTTCGTCCATACTTTCTTCATCTTTATTCTCATTGACTGTCATGTTTGTTTTGACAGGGAGATCTATTAATTTCTGAGCATGGAAGGTGTCTTTGTCTGAAATACCTTCAAGAACAACAATCTGACCTTCGAAGAATGCATAATCGAGTTTATCTTCAAGTATCAGTTTGACTCTTGACTGCCCATTTTCGTTCTCTGTTGACAAGTTAAACAACTCAATAGCGCTTGTGTCTTCTTCTTGTTCGGTGTAAGCAATCCTCCCGATGACGGTTACCACATCGCTTGAAATGGTACCCAAGTCTGTGAACTCTGGAATCTCAAGTTCCTTCTTGACGATCTGAGTGTACATCTCCAGGTGGTCGACCAGAGAATCTGCCCGCTTGGCAGCAGTCAAGTTAAAAATGTCATATTGGTCTACTTCGAATGTCTGAGTGAAGTCAAGCGAAGCCTTCGCTGACTCAAGAGCTCTCTTTGGAATGACTTCGTTGTTCCAGCCTTTGACGATTTTGCCTTGAGTCTGCCTGTTAACGAAGTCAACTTCTCACTGCTGATCGGCAGCTCTGTTCATGAACAATTCGAGTTTGTCGGTGATGGCTTCGAAGTCGTCTTGAGTTTGGTCGTGAGTAGCCTTGCCTTGCTTGTATTGTTTGTGCTTTCTGGCGAGTTCACGTTCTTTGTTGATAGTGGTTTGGGTATTTTTGATGTGAACTTTGAGGGCTTTATCGGGGTTATTGATCATCTCAGCATCAAGTTGGTCTCCAAAAGTTGTAAGATCAATACCATAGTTCTTACAAAAATCTAAAATAGTTTCCTTATCTTCAATAGAGATTTCATTTAAGCTAATAGTTCCACCTCACATATGTTCTTCTACTTCCATTTTGCGGGAAATTTATTATTATTAGACTTTGCTAAAATTCAATTTTTAAGTTTTGGCTCGGGGTTTTGGGGTTTTGGGGTTTTGGGGTTTTGGGGTTTTGGGG